CTGGCTAGTGATGCTGGCTGGATGTCAGGCTGTTTCCAGCTCAGCTTTGCAGCCCCTTTTCTCGTGTTGGCTGGCACACGGCAGGACTGCCCCGTGCTTATCTGGCGTGACATTTAGGTGACCACAAGAGCTTTTTCTCTGAAAGAAGTAGTTTCTTTAATAGGCTTCTCTATCAGGCTGGTGGCTGTCTGTGTCTCTTTTTTAACCTGCTCCTGGTGACAGCAAGGAACATGTGGGTGTTCGGCAGGTGGGAGACGATATGGGGAGCAGTGATGTTCTGGGAGCACAGCTCCTGATGGGGCTGCGACGGGCGTCCTGGGTCTGACCCATCCCCAGATCCGGTGATGGAAATCTGGGATCACACTACTGAAGTCAGCGAAGCTGAGGGTCAGCTGGATACGGCTCAAGTGACCTTGTGATGGGATGCCGGGAAGAAGCATTGTTGTTGTCTCCTGGATCTTCGTGGCGTCCCTGAAACGAACACTGCTCCCGAAGTGAGGGTTTGAGCGGGCGATGCTCTGTGAGGCACAGCAGCGATCCGCTGCTGGGGCTGCAGAAGTGCTGGAGGCTTTTCAGAGGAAGTTGGACAAACATGGTGCAGGACCAGTTCGTAGTGAGTTGTGTCTGCCTCGGGCTGCGTGGGGATTAGGGGTCTCTTTCTGTTTCTAGCCCTGAGTTCCTCCCTGGAGGGAGCGTGTGTATTATGCATAAGTGTGGCCGGGGGTGTGTACAGTGATATTTTGGGGGTGGATATCCTCAGCGTGAGCATTAAGAATAGAAGATTTGAGAGTATCTTAGTGGCTTTTCATCTTCTGGGGCCTTTTGGCATTTCCTTCCATTTGGGGAGGTGTAAATAGGACCCCTTTTCGCTCTATGCTCATGCAGCGGTGTTGCAATGCAGTATTTGGGGTAGTGCGTCAGCTGAAAGAACACCCTGATGGCTGGAGGGTGGAGATTTTGGCTCCAGCTGGGCTGTGTGCTGACCTTCCACAGCTGAGGGAATTTCAAACCTGGAGTGGCAGAACTTCTAAATCCTGGAGAGAGGTGAGAGAGGAAGGAAAGCAAAAGCAGCCACACTCAGCAGCACCAAGATCTCTCTCCCCTGTTCAGCCCGTCTATCACTTTAATACCCACCAGCGTATCTCTTTTATAAATCACAAATCATTGCAGGTAATAAATGCCACTAAACCAGGAGCTCTCTAAAATGAGCCTGATGTAACCTGCGGGGTGAGGAATGGCCTCTCCTTGGAGGGAGCGTCTGGGTGTTACAGCGCAGGGAGCTCAGCCCCGTGCACCGAGAGGTCCCCCTCTCCCACCGGAGCCCTGTCCCCCTCTCGGTGGGTGCCGTGGGGGTCTCCCTGCCCAGCCGTGCTCCATGGCCACTTGGCAAAGACCCTGGGGGGCGTGGGTGCTGTGCTTCTCCCTGAGCTCTTAAAGCAGGGGTTTCTGTCCTGGGAGGGTAAGGGCTGGGCCCTGGCGTGGGCTCAGCACCGTGCCTGCCATCTCCTCTGATAGAAAAGCAATTACCGTTAATTTTGATTTTAATGTAGCCATTTAAGAAAAAAAAGTTAATGCTTCCAATTTGTTTGGTATAATTAAGTGATAATTCCTGCTGCCTGGGAGGAGAACATGGCTGCAGCGCGTGGGGGTGTTTGGTCAGCACATTTTGACAGCTCCCAGCTCCTACGGCACAGCGCTGGCATTGCTTTCTAGTGCGATTCAGGTGATGCTGGAGAGACGGAGACAAAGGGTGTGGGTACAGTGTTTCAGACTGACCTTGATTCTCTTTAAAGAGCATGAAAGAGAAGAATAGCAAATTATGTGTGCGCCAAGGCAGCCGAATTCAGGCAGAGCTTTGCATTACTGCTGCTGAGGGTGGTGGCTCTCCAGATCTGCTGGTTCCCACTGTCTGGGACCGCAGTTGGGCTGAATTTACAGGTCTGTGCTCTGCCTGTTCTCATGAAGGACCTGCCCAGCACTCCACAGAAATACTCAGCTTATCTCTGAGTGCTTTGAATCACACTCTGTGTGCTGGTATGTTGAAAAAGAATTTTTAGGCAATTTTAGACAGCTATGCTCGAGCTTTGGGTAGCCTTAATGACAGCAGAGAAACTGGCACCAGCCGTGATGTTCTGCTTCTGTCAGACGTTTGAGTGATGCTGATTGTGTCAGCATTGTGTCTCATCCCAGGACTGCACTTTATAGTTGAAGAAATTGAGGCACAGGGCAGGAGAATGACTTCTTGGAGGTCAGGATGCAAATCTGTCACGCTCCTGGAAATAGGAGCTGGCTCTGCTTTTCTAATTTGCTGGACCATGCTGAATTTGTCCATGGTAATGCATGAAAATTAACCTGGAAAGAAAATAAATTATTCATTAAAGCACTAGTCCAGAGCTGCTTAAACTGCCAAGACAAAAATCCCTGAGCTGATCCAGTTGTGGGTGGTGATGCACATCAGATGACAAGGGATTGAAGGGAGGGGAGAACAGCAGCTGGTGATCTAGTCTGTTGTTTGCCCCTTTCTCCTCAGCTGCTGGGAAGATGCAAAGTGTGGCTTGATTTGCTGCTGCTTTTTGTCGTTGCTTTGTGTTCCTTTGTACTGCGGCCCCCACGGTGCCGGGGATGTGCGCATGTGCCTGCACTGGGTCCTGCTGCTGGAGGGTTATAGGCCAAGGAGCGTTTATGGGTTTATTAACCACATTCTTTATGCAATAAATGATATTTAGCTGACTACTGAAATTTATTTGGGAGAATAAGTTAAAACAAACAGCCTTGCTTGGATTGATTGGTTTTCATGCCAGCTCGCACTTGTACTTGAAGTGATTTTGATGGATCTCAGTCCAGTTGTCTGAGACCTGTTTCACTGATGCTTTCCATCGCCCTCCTCTGATTCACACTTTCAGAGGAGAAGTAGGAACTAACGTGACCACGGAAACTGATCTTCAGGTGGGCCCTGCAGGCTGCAGTCCTTGCAGGCTGAGCCCCCAGGCAGAGACGAGGAATTTGTGGGGATGCTGCGCTGTACCTGCCTGAGATAGCAGCAAATGCCCTGGCCCTGGCTGTGGTCCGAGGGCCGCCTCTGTCTCCCTGCTTACCTGACGAACACAACACAGGCATGAATTTATAGGAGAAATATGTGGCATCCCCAGTGTGCTACACACAGGATGAGTCTGGGGTACGGTAGCAACAGCCTGTGTGCCTCTGCCCTGCCTGCAGCCTGGTGCGCCCCAGGGCTTCTCCCCTTCCAGGGGGATCCACATCATTGCTCCATGCTGTGGTCCCCAGAAAGCATCAGGATACCCAGCTGGATCATCCGAAGTGATGGGTGATGAAAGGCGGCTGTAGGTGGCTGTTGCTAAGCTACAGGCTCTGTCTGCTCTGGCTGTCAGAGAGCTGAAGGGCTATGGTCAGACCTGGGGAGTAAGTGCTGCAGGAGGGCAAGGCAGTGGGGTGCGGGGCGGAGATGACCTGTTCCTGGGTCAGGGAGTTTTGCAGAGCCTACTTGTTTACTCTCTGCTCCAGATGAAGCAGCAGGAAACAAGTCTGGTTCTCCTTTTTGGGAGAAGGGAGCCCATGCCCTTAAGAAGCCCAAGGACCGTAACAGTTGTTTGCTTTATTTGTGCGTGGGTATCTTAGGTAGGAGAGAGCACGTTGGCTCTTTGCATCCCACCCCACATCTACACTGCTGTATCAGCAGAAAAAATAACCCCAAGCAGCAGATGGGCTGAGGCACTGGCCCTGGGCTGGGAGTCAGCCAGGAGGCAGAGAAGTGGGTCCGGGAGCAAACCTCTGCTCCAGGGACTTTCAAACTATGGTCCACAGAAAAGCAGGGCCAGCCAGCCCTGCTCTGCTGCCAGGGAAGCTCTTTTCAGGGTCTCAGTGGAACCTCAGCATCCATGGGGAAAAGTCTCAGGAGTCTGTGCATGGGGAGAAGAGGGAACGATGCTGTCCTAGACCAGAGCGGTGCTCAGCCAGGAGCATGCCGCCTTTGGGGGTTTTTTGGCAACTGCTCACTCTACCCTACAGTCCTGTCTCCAGATGTCTGTGCAGGCAGCACGTGCTGGGAGAGGTTGCTGCAAGGGTAAAGATAAATCTTACTTTGTTTTAAGGGCAATTGTTAAACATCCCCGGTTACACAATGAAGGCGGAGATGCTCAGTGCAAAATGCACCTTATTCCACGCTGGGCGAGTGAGCAAAGCCGCTGCCTTTGTTCCTTTCCGTTTGCCCTCTCTCTGTCTTCCTGCACTAATTAATCTCATCTGCATGCTTAACGGCCATTCCGAGAGAGGAGATGAGAAAAAGACCGTGGATTTCCAGCAAGAGCTTGTGCCTCTCCTCCCTGGGCTGCTCTCTGGATCCCTTACAGCTCCGTGGTGCAGCCCATGGGTCGGGGCTGGAGGGGTGAGTGCTGGCTTTTGCCTTTCCCAGCCAAGGGCTACGGGAGCGGGTCTTCCCCAGGGTCTGCAGGAGGATGTACACAGGAGTCAGGAGGAATTATCAGGTCAGAGAAGGAGGACGCAAGGAAAAGTTCCCCAGCAGGCAGGAAAACAGCCGGGGAAGTGAGCAGACGGCTTGCAGCCTCCTCAGTTTGAATGTCGCTTGGGGGTGGGGATGCTCAGGAAACAGGATGACAAACTGACTCCAACCTCTCTTGCCTTTTTTTTTTCTCTCTTTTGTTTTGTTTTATTTTTAGGATTGGTCTCTGCATGAGGCAGATCTGGAACTGCAGGATTAATGGAGACGCAATGAAAGGTACCGGTTGCTGCCGCTCTGCGTCGGGGGGTGGCAGAAGGGACCGGTGGCTGCGGGAGGCTGCCTGATGGGGATGCTCCGATCCCTGCTCTGCTCCTAGCTGCCTGCAGCTCTGCCAGGGGGAGGATGGTGTTTACACTTTGTGTTTCTTTGTTGTTTTTCCCTGGCACTTCTCTGTTCTGTTTTGCAGCGTAGCCAGCCCCCTCCCGTGGGCAGGGACCGATGCTGCCTCGCCCCGCCAGCCACCATGGAGCTAGCTAATAGCAGAGACTTCCAGTGGAAAACCCTCGCCCCGCTCCCAAGCCGCAGGGTCTACTCGACCCTGGTGGAAGCTGGCGGGCAGGTGTTTGCCATCGGGGGCTGCGATGATAATGGCATCCCCATGGACTGCTTCGAGGTCTACTCCCCCGAGGCTGACCAGTGGACCTCGCTGCCCCCCATGCCCACGGCCCGGGCGGGGGTGGCCGTGGCCACCTTGGGCAAGCGGATCATGGTGATAGGAGGGGTCGGGGTGAATCAGATGCCGCTGAAGATAGTGGAGATGTACAACATAGATGAGGGCAAGTGGAAGAAGAGGAACTCGCTGAGAGAGGCAGCCATGGGCATCTCGGTGACAGCAAAAGGCAAGGAGGGTTCAATCCTTCCAGGGCAGGGAGGGATGCCTGTGGGGTGGTGAGATGGGGAGGGTTGATGCATCAGGCACAAAAGCTTTCTGGGCAATGGCACAGGGTTATGTTGTTCTCTAAAACCTTTTCTGTGCTCCTAGAAGTTGAGCCCCATGTATTTGTCATATCCCACCCGCTAAAGACGACTGTTCTGTAGGTGGCCAAAAGCAGATAAACCCGGGGGTTGCTCTGTATCGTCAGCCCTGGAGCCACAAGGGCCATGGCTGTGCTGGTACCTGCGGGTATTTCGGACAGGTCCAAGCTCCAGGGTCTCAAATCAAACTTCTCCAGGGTTTCGTAGCAAATTCTGGTTCTTGTGTGCTGCAGATGCTGGAAAAATAGGAATGGTGCCGCTGGCTGAGCGTAGCCAGGCTGGGAGGACCTGGCTGAGCTGTGGAGCCAGAGGTGAAGGTCTTGAAGCCACAGAATAGCTTTGGTTTGAAGAGACATCTCTGGTCCAAACCCAGAACTAGCCAGGAGGGAGTCGGCTTCACGGTTGTGGGCTCAAATCACTGTACAGGGAGGGGAAGCGGCTGGCCTCATGGGGGGCTCCCACGTAGCTTCCCTCCAAAAGCTTAACCACTGCCTTAAATGGGGCTTGTTAAATGCCTGTGAGGCTCTGCCTTATCAGCCCATCTTGTTTTTTAATTTCTAAGCAGAGATGTGGAGCATTGATTTCCTTTAGCATGCTCTGCCATGCTTTGAAGAGCCTGGGGCTGGGAGCTGTGTTCCTGAGCAGCATGCCGGAGGTCAGCCAGCTTCCCGCTGTGCCTGGGATTATGAATCTAATCTCCAGGCAGCTTCTTTGAAAGCTGCTTGGTTTGTTTGCTTAAGTGGGTTTAAAAGCTACCGTCAAGGAATGTTTAAAAATAATGTTTACCATCTTGGAGATGATTTTCTCTCTGAGTGTAAGCTTGCTTGACTGATATGGCAGGGTCAATTTAGTGCGAGAGGCCAGGAACAAAAATAGCTGCCCAAATCCTTGCAGTGTTGTCTGAAGAAGTCTCTGCTTCCTCAGCTGCCTTGTAGGGCTGCCCGCAAGGGCAAGGCTGCTGTCGCTGCTCTCCTGAACCTTGTCTGTGGGGTGAAGCGCTTGTTGAAGGAGGTAACGTGGGTGCTGTGACAGGTGGGATTTTGTTTTGGAGAGCCAGGTTTGCTGTTAGCCAGAGATGGATGTAGCTGATACGGATTTGGTGAGGAACAAGTAACCTCAGTGCCTTGTCTCAGCTCTGAGCCCTCCGGTCTGGGTCACAGAGCCGCCATCCTGTGCCAGACCTCGGTGGGACAAAGCAGGAGCTGAGCTGAGGAGCAGCAAACCCCCAGACGGGGGAGCAGGGCTGGGGGAAGAGCATCGGCGTTGCTGCAGGGACCAGGGAGGTTGGCGCGTTCCCCTCTGCCCCGGGGATGGGGGCTCTCTGGGACGTGCACAGGGACTCGGGTAGAAGTGAACAGTTCTGGTCCGCATCGTATGATGGCATGTGTGTTTTTTGCAGGGCAGTATTTCTGATGCTTTCCTATAATAATTTTGTGGGGTTTTTTTTGCTTCTTGGCCCTGTCCAGACTACAGAGTCTATGCGGCTGGTGGGATGGGATCTGACCTGCGGCCGCACAACTACCTGCAACACTACGACATGCTCAAGGACATCTGGGTGTCGCTGGCGGCCATGCCCACACCCAGGTATGCTGCCACATCCTTCCTGCGAGGCACCAAGATCTACGTGCTGGGTAAGAAGCCGTCCTGCCTCCTCTTCCTCCTCAGGCACCGCCGGGCAGCAGCTCCTTTGATCTGAGCCCTGAGAAAACTCCCTGGAAGAGGCTTTGGGGAATGCTCCTCTCCATCCCTGCCTGTTTTCTGATGCATTCAGAAATACCAAGCTTGCAGCTATAGGTTTTGCGTGGGGCTGGCGTTGGGTTTGCGTTCACACCTCCATAGCAAGCACCTACAAGGGCCCCTGCATCCCTGAACGCCCCGGGAGCTCACAGGTCTTGCAGCAGCTCTGTGCCGGGTGAGCGGCCTCCCCTGTCCCAGGCCCATCCGTGGCTGCTGGCAGCCGAGGGTACAGCTGGTCTTTGCCTGCTCAGTTTGCAGTCCTGCAACTGCGCTAAAAGCCTTTGTACTCACCTAGTGAGTAAAAATACTTCTATTCGTGTTATATCAGCAAAGTACCATGCAGCTTCACAAAGGGTCCGCCTTTGGCAGAGGAAAGACCTGCTGTAGCTGGGAAATGCTGGACCAAGCCTTTTGCAGGGAACAATTTTCATTAGTCTTGTGTTATAGAACGGGAAACTAAGGTAGAGAAATGTTGCTGGTAGCTCGTGGCCAAATGGCATATCAGGATCAAAACGCAGGAGTCCTGATTGCTCAAACCGCCAGACAGCCCTGGCTCTCTTTAGGGGTTACCAGAAAAGACTTTGATCTATTTTGCAGTTTGCTTGCTGCTGGCAAACAGTTTGTGGGCCCGGCAGCGAGCACAGGCTCTGCCTTCAAAGGCACACTGAGCGTCTGAGCTGAGAATAGCTGTATTCATCTGCATCTGATGGGTGGAAGAATAATACACATCTTTGGCGGTGGTAGCAGCAGCTGCTCTGGCTCTCCTGCTCTGTCAGGAGCTCGGCGGCAAGGCTGGGGCTTGCTGGATTGCAGTGGTGCTGAACTCATCTGAATTGCAAAGGCTCCCTGAGCGCTGGTCCCTGCTCTGCTGTGAATTTGTCTTGATTAAACTGGTGCATACTAAACACCTTCCTGTGCCAGCGACCTGCTGCTGCCGGCGTGGAGGGAAGTGGAGGATGTGATGCACTGAAAAATGAAGTGTTTTCATGCCATGAACCTGCAGTTAAAGGAGAGGGAGTGCAAGGGTGAGAAGTTACCTGGCTCAGCAGGCCCTCACGCAGATGACTTGAGACCTGGGGACATCATATCAGCTGGCAGCTCACTCCCAGCCTGCCCTAGGAGGCTCCTCTGGTTCCTGCTGCTGTTGGCTTGGTGCTATGAGCCAAGCTGACCCTTTTCTTTCCATCTCCCTGCCCCAGGTGGAAGGCAGTCCAAGTATGCTATCAATGCCTTCGAGGTCTTTGACACAGAAACCAGGTCGTGGACCAAGTTTCCCAATATCCCCAACAAAAGAGCCTTCTCCAGCTTCGTGCCCACAGAAGACAAACTCTTCAGTCTTGGGGGTCTGCGGCAGGGACGGCTCTACCGGCAGCCCAAGTTCATGAGGACCGTGGACATGTTTGACATGGAACAAGGTGGGGGTTGTCCCAGCTCTGTCCTTTCCAGAGGAGCAGGGCTGGTGGCACGTGAGGCTGTGCTTTGGGGCTTTGCTGTCCTTGCAGAGCACAGACCTCTCATCTGCTGAGTCCTGGGACCGCTGGTGCCTTGCGCCCAGCCTAAAGGAAGGCCCACAGTCAACATTAACAAGTCAAGGCAGCAGGGGGGAAAACCATGGTCCCGAGGCAGCTGGGTTCAACAACTGCCTCCTGACGTGGTGGTGAGGAAGCTGACCCCTGTGTCATGGGGTTTTATTACCCCAAGGTGCAGCAGCAAAACTGCACTTCCACAAGCAAGTAGGAGGTGAGAGAGGCAGATGATTTCCCAGGAGTGGATGCTCCTGCAATGCCTGGTCTGTCCTGTCCCTCCCAGGTGGCTGGATGAAGATGGAACGTTCCTTCTACCTGAAGAAAAGGCGAGCAGACTTTGTGGCTGGCTACCTGAAAGGCAGAGTTGTCGTGGCTGGGGGACTAGGTGAGGTGCTGGGGATGGTGGTGACACTTTAAAAGCATATGTGAGTCGTCGTCGTTACAGCGGGGAGAGCTCCTGGCCCTGGCTGGCCTGAGGGGGCAGGGAAAATGGACCCCATAAGGGGATGGGGTCCAGAGTACAGACACTGTCCCAGAGCAGACAAGGGATGCTTGCCAGTGCTTCCCAGGTGACCCAGTCCCTTGTTTTGTGCTTCCAGGAAACCAGCCGACCGTCCTGGAGTCTGTGGAGGCCTTCCACCCCGAGAAGAACAAGTGGGAGAGCCTGCCCCCCATGCCCACCCCACGCTGCGCCTGCTCCAGCATCGTGGTCCGGAACTGCCTGCTGGCCGTCGGCGGGGTGAGCCAGGGCCTGAGCAGTGCCGTGGAGGCCCTGTCCCTCTCCGATTCCTAGCTGGCTCCTGCCCAGCGGAGGACCCTGCGCCTCGCTGCCTCCAGCAGCGGTGGTGGTGGTGCTGGGCAGCTCCCGGCAGCGCCGAGGCTGGGTGAGCACCACCCGAGCTGCCCTTGGGAGCCTGGCAGCTCAGCTCTGCCTGCCGGTAGCTAAACCCAGCCTTGCTCTGGAGCCGTGGTCGGCAGAAGCCTGCAGCCAGGGCTGCTGTTCCTCTCCCTCCCGAGTGCTGCCGTTCCAGCCCCACGGAGAGAAGGAGCACTTTGGCCAGGGGTTCCCCTCCAGTCGTCTTCAGAGCTCTACAGGTAAACCCAGATGAAGGAACTGCTCGCAGCGCTGGTGTGCCGTGTCTCCTGCCAGCAGGAAGGACTCTGGAGATCAGGACATGAGTGAGCATCTCCCTGCTGCCATCCTGACCAAAGGCGACGGGTTTGGAGGTGTTAGGAGTATCCAGACAGGTCAGTGGTGGTTCAGGGAGAACTGGTGTGATCTTGCCCTCTTCGAGCACCCTGGAATCTATGCGTGCTTCCCTGCATGGATCCCTTTGGCTTGCAACAAGGGAGACTCCTAACCTGCAGCCAGACCCAGGGGATCGTTCTTTTGCCTTCATAGCAAGGCTTTTCCTGCAAACCTGTAGCATTTGACTGTCACTTTGCCAGGAGCTGGAGCAAGGGGCTGCCAATGCTCCTGGGAGCGATGAATGCCCAAGGGATTGTTTTGGCTAGAGGGAAGACCTTACTTTTGGCACAGGACTGGCACAGATACTGCCTTTGCTGGGTTTCATGCAGAGATGGCCTCAACCTATAACGTTCCAACCCGGTTTTTAGCTCCTCTAATGATTTGGGATCTTCTGGTCAGCCCTGGGAGAAAGGAGCAAGACTGAGCCCTGCCTCTGGTTCTGGAGCGCTCTCACCTCCGGGGCCTGGCAGTGGCTTTGGCGATGGCTTTGTCGGCAGCAAAGCCAGAAGACCCTGGCCACGGCCTCCTCTTTGGTTTCGTTCTTCCCGGGCGGTTTGCGGGAGGGCTGTCCGAACTGTCGGGTTACAATTCTAGCTTGTAGCAGTTGCACCATTAAAAGCTGTATTCGGAAAAGCCCTCGGAGAAGTCCGGTCTGTGCTCTGGGCTGCATCAGGGCTGCGATTGTATGAAAAGGTGGGACCCAGACTGAAAAGGGGGATGGG